CTGCTCCTCTAAAAACACAAACTCTGCTCCTCTAAAAACAAAAACTGCTCCTCTAAAAACACAAACTCTGCTCCTCTAAAAACTCTGCTCCTCTAAAAACACAAACTCTGCTCCTCTAAAAACTCTGCTCCTCTAAAAACAAAAACTCTGCTCCTCTAAAAACAAAAACTCTGCTCCTCTAAAAACACAAACTCTGCTCCTCTAAAAACACAAACTCTGCTCCTCTAAAAACACAAACTCTGCTCCTCTAAAAACACAAACTCTGCTCCTCTAAAAACTCTGCTCCTCTAAAAACAAAAACTCTGCTCCTCTAAAAACAAAAACTCTGCTCCTCTAAAAACACTGCTCCTCTAAAAACACTGCTCCTCTAAAAAACAAACTCTGCTCCTCTAAAAACAAAAAACTCTGCTCCTCCTCTAAAACAAAAACTCTGCTCCTCTAAAAACAAAAACTCTGCTCCTCTAAAAACACAAACTCTGCTCCTCTAAAAACAAAAACTCTGCTCCTCTAAAAACAAAAACTCTGCTCCTCTAAAAACACTGCTCCTCTAAAAAACTCTGCTCCTCTAAAAACACTTCTTGTCTTCTCCTTCAAACACAAAGTCCAGGTTCTCCCCTCAGACAAGTGTGTGCTTCAGTCTGTAATCTGCAGAGAAAAGCTTCGTCGTCAGGTTGAGAGCTGTGACAGGCTCTGTGTGTGTGTGTGTGTGTGTGTGTGTGTGTGTGTGTGTGTGTGTGTGTGTGTGTGTGTGTGTGTGTGTGTGTGTGTGTGTGTGTGTGTCTGTGTGTTTGCGTCTTTTAGTCTCCCTCACATTTCATTTTGACGGCACCTAAATGAGACAACAGACGGATCAGTTATTACACTCCACATCTGAAACTCTCCTGTGACTGAGTCTGTGTGTGTGTGTGTGTGTGTGTGTGTGTGTGTGTGTGTGTGTGTGCATCTATGTGTGCGTCTGTCTGTCTGTGTGTATTTGTGTATGTGTGATGTATGTGTCTGCGTGCATCTCTGTGTGTGTATTTATGTGTGTACATGTGCGCGTCTGTCTGTGTGTATTTGTGTATGTGTGTGTCTCTGTGTGTATTTATGTGTGTGTGTGTGTGTATGTGTGTGTATGTGTGCGTCTATGTGTGCATCTGTCTGTATGTATGTATATGTGCACGTGTCTATTAGGGCTGAGTATCATTAAGAAGTTGCCGATACGATACATACCTCGATACGGTGCACTTTCGATTTGATATATTTCAAATCGATTCGATACAGTTCAATAAAAAAATAAAGGCTAAATCGTGGCTGTGATACTAAAGTGTTTGTTAAATCACTTCTTCTTGTGCAAAGTTCATATGAAACACTTTAAACATTTTAATCCTCAAAACAGTAAAAATGTCAAATGTGTCGCATAAATGAGTTTCCTTTCACTCCACAAGCGACAAAACTGTAGCTGTAACAAAATAATTTTAGTAAAACACACGTAAAAATCCTCTTGGTGAAATATCGATACAGCAGCCCACGATATCGATATTGTGTCATCACATTAAACAATACGATATATCGATATTCCGATATTTTTGCACACCCCTAGTGTCTATGTGTGTATATGTGTATTTGTGTGTCTGTGTGTGTGTATATATGTGTGTGTGTGTGTGTGTGTGTTTGTCTGTGTGTGTGTCTGTGTGTGTGTGTGTGTCTGTGTGTGTATATATGTGTGTGTGTGTCTGTGTGTGTGTGTGTGTCTGTGTGTGTATATATGTGTGTGTGTATATATGTGTATGTGTCTGTGTGTATATATATGTGTGTGTGTATATATGTGTGTGTGTGTGTGTCTGTGTGTGTGTGTGTTTTGTATCTGAGTTTCTCCTGTGTCCTTGTGTTTTGTGCGTTGCCATAGAAACACAAAATGAAGCCGCTGCAAAGAATCAGAACAATCAGAAGTGAGTTGTGTGTAGTTGTGTGGACGTGTGTGTAGTTGTGTGGACGTGTGTGTAGTTGTGTGGACGTGTGTGTAGTTGTGTGTCGTTGTGTGTAGTTGTGTGTCGTTGTGTGTAGTTGTGTGGACGTGTGTGTAGTTGTGTGTAGTTGTGTGTCGTTGTGTGTAGTTGTGTGGACGTGTGTGTAGTTGTGTGTAGTTGTGTGGACGTGTGTGTATTTGTGTGTGTGTATAGTGTGTGTGTAGTTGTGTGTCGTTGTGTGTAGTTGTGTGTCGTTGTGTGTGTGTGTAGTTGTGTGGACGTGTGTGTAGTGTGTGTGTGTGTTGTGTGTGTGTGTAGTTGTGTGTCGTTGTGTGTAGTTGTGTGGACGTGTGTGTGTGTGTGTGTGTGTAGTTGTGTGGACGTGTGTGTGTGTGTACGTTGTGTGTAGTTGTGTGGACGTGTGTGTAGTTGTGTGGACGTGTGTGTAGTGTGTGTGTGTGTGTCGTTGTGTGTAGTTGTGTGGACGTGTGTGTAGTTGTGTGGACGTGTGTGTAGTGTGTGTGTGTGTCGTGTGTGTGTGTGTGTAGTTGTGTGGACGTGTGTGTAGTTGTGTGTCGTTGTGTGTAGTTGTGTGTGTGTGTGTGTGTGTAGTTGTGTGTCGTTGTGTGTAGTTGTGTGGACGTGTGTGTAGTTGTGTGGACGTGTGTGTAGTTGTGTGGACGTGTGTGTAGTTGTGTGACGTGTGTGTGTGTAGTTGTGTGGACGTGTGTGTAGTTGTGTGTCGTTGTGTGTAGTTGTGTGGACGTGTGTGTGTGTAGTGTGTGTGTGTGACGTGTGTGTAGTGTAGTGTGTGGACGTGTGTGTAGTTGTGTGGACGTGTGTGCAGTTGTGTGTCGTGTGTGTGTGTGTAGTGTGTGTCGTTGTGTGTGTGTGTGTGTAGTGTGTGTGTGTCGTTGTGTGTAGTTGTGTGGACGTGTGTGCAGTTGTGTCGTGTGTGTGTAGTTGTGTGTCATTCGTGTGGAGGGTCACATCTGCTCCATCTGTTTCAAAAAAAAAAAAAAGTCTATGTGATATTTGTATTTAAAATCCCAAACTCAGGACCCGTGTGTTTGTCATTAGACTTGAGGAAACATGTTCAAATCTAATCTCACTTTTACTACAGGTGCAACGATCTCCAAGACTCACGATACGATACCGTCACGTTTGAACCTCACGATACGATATTTATTACGATGTCGTGGGAAAGCTCACGATTAGAGATGTGACAAAATCCAAATCTCTTACGATATTTTCACAATAAACATGTCACGGTACGATATTTATTGCGATATTTTGAGGCTAAAACTGTGAATATGCTTCTTTTTTCCTCTTAAAATGTCTTGATTTAAGACTTAATCCAAAGAACTAAGAGTTAAACGTGTTAGAACTGTTATTTCTTCTTGTCGTCTGCACTGAAATGGAGCAAAGGATCATGGTCTATGTAGTTCTCTTTGTGTTTTTTTTTTTTTTTTTTAGCTGTTGCTGCACAATAACTCTTCATTTAAACAAAGAGACTTGTTATTCGATATATTGTGATGGTCCACGATATTATTGTGAGAATTTACGATATCATGATATTTTGGTTATTTCGGTAATTTTTATTGAAAACAGCTTCAGGTTCAAACCAACTGCACTTCAGGGTTAATGGAGATTTATTCTGAATTTAAAAAAAAACTTGGACATGATGGCACTTTTACTTACGTTATCATTTGTTTTGGTGTTTTGGTTCAGAACATTCTCCAATCAGAACGCAGAATGAGCCTCACGTGACTCTGTCGTTTGGGTTGCTGGTTCGATGCTGAAATCCAGGAGGAAATATCTGTAACGCAGATATAGAGCCGACCAATCACAGCTCTTATTTTCTGCGTCGCTTATTCTGCGTTGTTTTGAAATTTCTCTGGTGCACATCAGTTGACGTAGACACTGTGTAGACCACAGGTGTCAAACATACGGCCCGGGGGCCAGATCTGGCCCTCCAAGACCTTTAATCTGGCCCTCAGCTGATTTTCTACTAAAATATTGTATTTATATTTTCTATTAAAATCGTGCTAATTTTGTGTGGTGTTTATCACAGCAGCGTCTCCAGCGTCTCTGTACGTGGCCCCTCCCACCAGAGCAGCACAAATGAAGACTTGTCTCTTTCCAAACGCTCTTAAAGGACGATCGTTTTGACTGTTGACCGTGACACCCTCATCAGAAAAATGTCCAACATGAGAAAAGTGGAGTCGAGTGCAGGATTTTACAACAAAAATGGACTTATTCCTGTTTACAGACAAGTTCATGTTAAAACTTTGTGTTGAAATTACATTTTTTTTTAAGTTTCAGGTTGTTCATAATATTATAATATTTTGTAAAACAAAGAAGTTCATCAGTGAAAAAAGATTTCTGTAATAGATTTGTGTTTCCCTGCAAAAATATTTGAACTTATTGTTATTTTTGGGGTTTATATGACATGAGTTTTCTGATCCGGACACTTTAGGATCAAAGTCGTTTGGACACGACCCCTGGACCAAAATGAGTTTGACTCTCCTGGTGTAGACGGTTCACGTCGACGTCCACTCTCTGCACAATTAAGATATTATTTTTCATCACATCATCCGCCCGACTCGCCTGACAGTGGACTCCACGCAGCTCTACTGTTCACCTGCTCCGGCTCCTCTTAGACAACACACACCTGCTTCTCCATCAGATCCTTCATTTACTCTCTCTTCTTTCTTCTCTGGTCTCTTCAAGTGTCCATGTTCCACCTCCTGAAGACCATGCCTCTGCTCCAGACTTTCATGTCTCTCTCAGATCCTTGTGTTCCTCTTCATTCACTCTCTCTTCTCTTTTTTTCTCCAGGTGTCCGTGGTCCACCTCCTGAAAACCGTGCTTTTGCTCCACACCTTCATGTCTCAGATCCTTGTGTTCCTCTTCATACATTGTCTCTTCTTGTTTCTCCAGGAGTCTGTGGTGCATCTCCTGAAGACCATGCCTCTTCTCCACACCTTCATGTCTCTCTCAGATCTTTGTGTTCCTCTTCATTCACTCTCTCTTCTTTTGTTTCTCCAGGTGTCCGTGGTGCACCTCCTGAAGACCGTGCGCCTGCTGCGTCTCCTGCGCCTCCTGCAGAAGATGGACCGTTACTCGCAGCACAGCACGGTGGTCCTGACGCTGCTCATGTCCATGTTCGCGCTGCTCGCTCACTGGATGGCCTGCATCTGGTACATCATCGGCAAAATGGAGATGGAGGCCAACGCGTACAACTGGGACATCGGTGAGTGATGACGCCGCGCTCGCTGTGAGGAGCACCCGGGGCCACGCGTCACATCAGGCTGTAATTAACCGAGAAAGTGATCAAGCTTTAATGAATCTGTTCCAAAAACGCCCAGGAGCCTGAGTGAGGCAGACGGAGAGAAGGTTCAGCTCAGTTCAGTTCAGTTTTACAGTGTCAGTCTGGGATTTTTGAGTTGGTTTTGAAAATGATTTTTAAATTTCAAAAGCTTTGTACATTTATGAGCATCATATAGACCAGGGCTGCTCTACTTACAAAGTCTCCGTTCAGTCTGCAGGCTTTAACGCTCAATTCCGATTTTTTTTGTGAAATCCGATGTTTTTTCGAGGTCGTTCACATTTCCAGTTAAATGTGACTTGTATGTGACTCCAGTGTGAACATTAAACGGTCCAAAAGTGTCCCACATGTGACACTGGAGACACGACGACGTCAACCGCAGCGAGCGTCTCTGTGTTTACACAAGTTGAACAAACATGGACGCAGCATCGAGCACCTGGAGATTTTAAAGTTCCTCTCGTACCGGAGCCACAACATGAACAACTGACTTGTTTTAAGGAGGAGATTGAGAAGGAGAAGGACCAGGTTTTTGGTGGTGGTGTTTTGTGGTGAGTGGAGATGTGCTTCACTTCAGTCACATGGATCATTAACAATTTTCGCCTACTTCAGTGCAGAATAGTGACGTTTGTGGTTTGTTGATAACGTGTAGGTGGGTGAATGCACTTTGGCCGTTCAGACTGAAGTCACATGTCAAAAGATCAGATATGGATCAGTTTCAGGAGCACAGATCCATGTCCTGGGTCATGTTTGAAAAAATCGGATCTGTGTGGTTCAGACTGACATTAAAAAATCTGATACAGGAACATAGAAGCCAAAAAATTGGATTTGGGTCACTTCAGGTGCAGACTGAACGCAGCCAAAATGGCCAAGTCAAAATGATCTACACTATCGTTTAAAAGTTTGGGGTCACTTAGAAATGTCCTTATTTTTGAAAGAAAAGCAGTGTTTTTTTCAATGAAGAACTTTAAACTAATCAGAAATACACTTTATACATCACTAATGTGGTAAATGATTATTTCTATCTGCAAATGTCTGGTTTTTGATGCAATATCTACAGAGGTGTAAAGAGGCCCACTTCCAAAAACTGTGACTCCAGTGTTTTAATGGTACAATGTGTTTGTTCATTGCGTCAGAAGGCTAAAGGATGATTAGAAAACCCTTGTGCATCATGTTAGAACATTTGTGGGGTCAATTAAACGCTCAAAATGGCCAGAAAAAGAAGAACTTTCATGTGAAACTCAACAGTCTATTTTTGTTCTTAGAAATTAAAGTTATTCCATGTGAGAAATTGCCAAGAAACTGAAGTTTTCCTACAGCACAAAAATGCTCTAAGCAGAGTGTTGAACGGTAGTGTATTTGGAAGTTCAGACGGCGTTTCTAACCAGACACATGTTCATTTTCTTTGTAAATGAAACTAAACTGAGCGTGGAGGAGTTTGTAGCTGGGCGTTGGTGAATTTGTCGCAACTGTTACTAAAGAAAGAATTCGGGAGCTTAAGGACGTTTTGTGAATCTGGGGCAGAGTCTCTCAGCTTCTTTTTAACATGGACATTTTTTAAAGAAATGGTTCATGAATGAGGCCAGTTGTCTTTGTGTGTGTTTAATTTTCTGAGCTCTAACCTCAGCCTGGACTGGGACGACAGGTGCTGACAGGTGCTGACAGGTGCATCAGCGCTACAGCCTGGGCCGTCTCTGCGGTGAGGGTTAATGTTTTATTTATTTAATGAGACCGACTCCGTGCACAGTAAAGAATGGGGCAGTTTTGGCTCCTTTTCCCGCCTCCACATCATAACAGAATATTTTAAATGCCCCCACTGTGGGGAAGCTGGCCCAAGTGGTCAACATGAGAGTCCAGTGCAAAGTTGTCCTTCACCAAACCAAATTCTTTATTGGATCCTTCCAAGTCGTGGGCAAAATTATATACATATTTACAAAAAAGAACTGTGCTTAACTAAACAAAAGCAACCGAAAATAACGCAACAAAAGAAAATACCCACAGGCACCTGGCTGCACTGATGGTGACGTCCTACTGATTAAACTGCCTCTACTTATATACCCCCCAGAGAGGAAGCCCCTCCCCCTGGGTTCACACCAACTTACGGGGAAAACTGTAGCAATTTCCTTTCCTTACTGGTGCTGCCTTAATTTTCTGAAGCCTAATCCCCCTTTTAAACTGAACAGTGTCCAACTTATCTAGATACACTGAAACCAAAATTCTAATAACCCATTTGATAAAACAAAGAACCATTTCCGAGGCTTCCCTCCACATGGTCTGGGCCAACACCTCCCCCTGAGCCTAGAAATATGGCTGCCAAAGGACACGCCCCCTCTTTTGTTCCCAGACCATGTGGAGTCACAGGTAAAGGTGGTAAGTTTAAACAAAAATGAAGGGATATAACCAAATAAAATGAATTTAAAGTAACTGTGTGAATGTGATCAATTAAACAAAGACTAAATAAAACAAACCCGGGATAGTTATTATTTAGCTGTTTAGTTGATATAGATGTAACTGAACTAAGGTAAAAATGGGGACAAAGGCCGTCTTTGTCACACCCACCCTCGTCTTTTTAAAGGTAAATCAATGTTGGTTTCACAACGCCCCCCCCCCTGCCGCTCCCCGTGAAGCCCACAGAGTGGAAGAGATACTCACCAGACGATCACAAAGAACGCAGACGCCAACCGACACTTCAGACCACCTACACCTGACTCCTCCCACATACACCTGACCCACGTAGCCCCCGTACAAACCCTCCACTACAATCTTGCCAAGAGACGATGACTTGAATTTAAAAAAGAAAGTTTGATCATGATTTGAGTACCGTGTTTTACGGACAATTAGTCGCTCTGGATTATAAGACGCACTGTCATTAAATGTTCTATTTTCAAACTTTTTTCCACAAATAAACCACACTGGACTTTAAATGAAACCCAACAGTGTGATGGGTGAGTGGTTTTGTTTGTTTGTTCGTTCACGGTGACTCTGGGCTTTGTTCAGTTGTGGCGTGTAGGGAGGGTGTGTCTGGGACCAGCGGATTGTCGGCGTGTTCACAGTGACTCAGTTGTTCAGTCGTGTCTAGAAGTGGCACGTTGCACTTGCTTTTTCATTCCGTTCCTCGTCGGCGTGGAGTGATGAGTGTGTCTGTGTGTCTGTGTGTGTGTTTCGCTGTGCGGTCGCTGTCTGCTCCGTGTGTGTCTTTGTGTGTTTGTAGTTTACTGAAGTCGTGCTGGGACACCCGAGTGGATTCATGTATGGGGCGCTCTGGATTGCGGCGCGCGGTCGTTTTTTGATGCGGTTACAGGCTTAAGAGCGCGACTAATAGCCCGGAAAATACGGTAAATTCCATCCATCCATTTTCGTCCGCTTATCCGGGGCCGGGTCGCGGGGGCAGCAGCCTAAGCAGGGACGGTCAATTTCACTTGACAAAAATGTTCTTAACTTAAAATATGAAAACTTAAGATCGTCAAAACAACAACTCTTTGCATTTAAAATAAGAAACAAAATTGAATGTTGCTTGAATTACGGGGAAAAAAACCAACCTCTGATTCCGTTGGTAAATATTCTTTTTTTCTTTTTAAGTTGAATCTGAAAAGTATCCTCATGAGCTCTGGGTAATGACCGAAAAGACGAGATCGACGATACAAACGACACAAATGAGTTTCCTCCGCAGGGCGTCCGGGCGTCTCCCTTAGAGACAGAGTGAGGAGCTCGGAGTAGAGACGCTGCTCCTCCACGTGGAGAGGATCAGATGCCTCCTGGATGTCTTCCTTGTAAATGAGGAGGCCACAGGGAGAACCCGGGACACGCTGGAGGGACTGTGTCTCTGGACTGGCCTGGGAGCACCTCGGGGTCCCTCTAGAGGAGCTTGAGGAAGTCTGGAAGTCCCTGCTCGGACTGATGCCCCCGCGACCCGGATAAAGCGGAAGAAAATGAATGGATGGAAGTTTAATCTACTCAAATAAAGTGAGATGTTCTTAATTAAAGCCATTTTAACTTGTCTAGATATTTCTTTCTGCCGTGTATCATAACAAACCAACTCAGCTTTATTAATACCTCACAGCTCCCCCCCGGTGCCTCCTCCTCCTCCTCCTCGTCCTCCTCCTCGTCTCCTCCTCCTCCTCCTCCTCGTCCTCCTCGTCCTCGCCTCCTCCTCTCCTCGTCCTCCTCCTCTCCTCCTCCTCCTCGTCCTCCTCCTCTCCTCCCTCCCTCTCCTCCGTCCTCCTCTCCTCTCCTCCTCCTCCTCCTCGTCCTCGTCCTCCTCCTCCTCCTCCTCGTCCTCGCTCCTCCTCCTCCTCCTCCTCGTCCTCCTCCTCTTCCTCCTCCTCCTCCTCCTCCTCCTCCTCCTCCTCCTCGTCCTCCTCCTCCTCCTCCTCCTCCTCTCCCGTCCTCCTCCTCCTCGTCCTCCTCCTCGTTCTCCTCCTCCTCCTCCTCCTCGTCCTCCTCCTCCTCGTCCTCCTCCTCCTCCTCCTCCTCGTCCTCCTCCTCCTCGTCCTCCTCGTCCTCCTCCTCCTCCTCCTCCTCCTCCTCCTCCTCCTCCTCATCCTCCTCCTCGTCCTCCTCCTCCTCCTCCTCCTCGTCCTCGTCCTTCGTCTGCGTTGCTCCACAGCTCCAGGGGCTCAGATAAACTCAGGTATTTCTCCTCATTATTCAGCCCCGTGACAGAAGATCGATGCAGCGCTCCATGTGTTTCCTATAATACTATAATACTCTCACTATAATACTCTCACTATAATACTCTCACTATAATACTCTCACTATAATACTCTCTCTATAATACTCTCACTATAATACTCTCACTCTCACTATAATACTCTCACTATAATACTCTCACTATAATACTCTCACTATAATACTCTCACTATAATACTCTCACTATAATACTCTCACTATAATACTCTCACTATAATACTCTCACCTGGACTGAGACG